GGGCGCTGGAAGTGAGGCGTATTGCAGTAAGAACTATGTTGAATTCATCATTTTATGAGTAGAAGTCGGCATTTTCAAGAAAATCCGACTGGGGAAGTGGGGCTCTTTTAATGAATTCGAAATGGGAAAGAGAGGCAGTTCTGATTAAATCGAAGTAGGGAAGAGAGATGGGTGGAAACAACGTTTCTGTTTCGAAATTTGTTGGTTTAAAGAAGTTTGTTAGTCGTTATTGCTCTTTATTGTTTCTGCTCTTGAGAGGTTTAGCAATTTATCTCTACTAGCTCATTTTCAAAATGAAATAAAGAGCACAACTGGCACAGCAGGGATAACTTGCGCAAGGAGGTCAATCAGAGTCAACGGTCCGTTCGCACTTGTCCAATGAGGGGGTCGCATTTGTGATTTCGTGAAGGGGGTCGGATTTTTATGTTGAGCGAGGATAATTATCCCTGGGGAAGTGCGAACGGAGGTGGTTAAGAGAGGTTGTCAACAGTTTTTGACGACTTCGGTGAAAGTGGAGCATCTTCGCTTCGTGAGACCCCAGTTTCTCCCAGCTCCTCCCCCTCCTCTTCTTTCCACCCCCACCCCGCGTGCTCGACGTTTTAAGGAAAGGGAGACGGCGGAGTTGAGATGTGTCGACTGGTCTCACAATCAAGTACCATAGGTACTATAAACAACATGATGGCAAGGGTGGCGGGTGGCAGTTGGAGAGGGGGTAGCGAGGGGGGGGGTCGTATTGGGGAAGTTTCCTAAGTCTCATGGTGCTGGTGGGGGGGGGGTCGCAAAGGTTTTGAAAAAGTGCGAACGCGACGGTTGACCCTGGTGCCAACCAGAGCCACAACAATCTTAAGCTTTACTGCTACTGCTTTTGGCTTTACTGCAGACCACTTATTGACCATAAAATTATCACTTGCTGTCCTCGAGTAGCTTTGACTTTAACTACATCACAGCTAAAACCGTGCCGAAGGATGGAGCACGGTTACACTATTTTCCTTTACTACATTGTATCTCCTCCTCTATACACAATTCTCTGGTTATTCACGGCTTGCAAGTTACCATTTCGAATGGAGGTAGTGGCAGCAAGAAATGCTGACGTCGCGACAGTAAGAAAACTTCCAGGGAAGGAAATGATGAAGATGAAGTGTTCCAAAGGCCCAGTGCTCAAAAAATACTGGGTGAGCGCCAGAATTCATCACGTTGACAACGGGCTAACGCGCAAGCGCATCAGAAATTTGGGGCCGCATTGGACATTCTGACGCGCGCCTGGGTCAGAATCTTGGTGCCCTTTTTTTTGTACATGTCCGACTTCTTCTGAAACTTTTATCACTGTTATGTAGTAGACAGTAAATCATCAGGCCTGTAAACCGTGTGGTCCATGGAGCGGTTGAGCATGCTTTAGTTAAGAGAAGGTTTTCCAAACCTCACGGTTTTCCGTTTAGTTCAAATTTCGACTACTATTTTGGGGCAAACAACCATAAAGAGAGAAAAATGCAAACAGCAATGTGATACCGTAATTCCAAGGATTTGCGTTTCCATGGATGGGATGTCCAGCTTTTCACGCATGTCATTCGATTTTTAATCAAGCAGTCGATACACAAAGTTTTTTATTTACATTCTGCGCGTGTTAATCCTTTTGTTTTTTGAGGCCTCAAAATATCTTTTTTGAACGTAGTTGCGTAAAATCTTAACCACTTTTCTATCGACTCCTCGTGAACCTCTAGCTATTTCTTCCAGCATGTTGCGTGGGAAGCACTGACTTGAGGTGTATTCGCGCTCAACCCGAATAGCCTGACCCTCTTCTCTCCCCATTCCCCCAACTGGCTATCCCTTCCAGACTCATGGATTCCTTATTCTGCATTGATATCATCATTAGTATTTCGCCGAGCGGGTAGAAACAAGCAGCGCGCATCTTCACCAAAAGCCCCCTCCCCTCAATTAGCGTTGCATCCTTGTTCTACTTGTTTCAGTCTTGAGTTTTGAAAAACGCACCTTGTAAAACAACTGACGCGCATGCGCGTCAGGCCAATCGCGCCCACCGAATCCCATGTCTCATGCGGCGAAAAAAGCCAAAATCTGCGCTTTCATCATGGTGTTAAGGGGTAAGTATGGCAGTAAGGCTATCGACGTCATTCCGATTCGCATGAGTGTGATGCTGCTGCCGTTTCGAACTCAGGTAGGCCATACATAGACAACCGTCTCGTATGGAGAATCAAGCACGCTGCGCAACTAAGTGGGCTGTAAGAGTCGCCATTTAGGCTTCGAAACACTTCAATTTCATTTATACTCTGAATGGGAATTAAGTATATGACGCAACTGGAACATGACTGTTATTGCAACACTATTTTCTGCTCGGGACTTGAAGGTTTATATCAAGGGGATAGTAGGTGTGGGGAAAAAGAGGAAGAACCCATATCGTTCAATAAGTAATCATTTAAAAAACGAGCGAAGGTGCTGAATTAACGAGTGGAGCCACTTCCCAAACGCACGATCTGGGGCCCAAATCTCGAACCCCATCTAGCTCACGCCACATGAGCCTGCTACTTCCCCAAAGTTGGTTAATTGGTTTTTCGTAGGGTAAAATGAACGACTTGTACAACGGCTATCCCCCTTAAAGGCAACGATTACGATAAATTCAAGAAGGGTTTAATGTGACGTGGTGGTGCTCAGTGGTACGCCAGTAGCGAAAAAAGCAGAAAAATCCGTCAAGAAAACCCATAACTGGACCCCTTTTTTACCGTTGATTTTCACGATGAACAGGTTGCAGCTAAGAAAGTGGATGTATGAACGAGTTCACTACAACGCATTCGATGGCACCACGCCAAACTACGCTATAATCGAGATGTTCCTCTTGCGCCGCTTCTGGCCTCGCAACTGGTTCAAACAATAAGTAGACTAGTGGGCGGATCACATCACGTTCGAATTGTTCTGAGTATGAGGAGAAGAGATTTGAAGGAATGGGGAACTTTAAAGTGCGAACTGGGCTGATAGACCTTCTGTAGTAATATAATACGGTAAATAAAGGTTCGTCCCCAGCCGGCGACGAATGACGCCGCGATGGGTTAATACACAGCCGGGGTGCATAAGACCGCAGAAATGATTAGATTCCGGTAAACCACAGATTGAGTTCGGAGCAGGGTGAATAACGGTCGAGGAAATCCTCGAGAGGGGGTCGTATTTGCTCCGATGAGAGTTGGGAGGGGATTGTAATCAAACGGTTCATTAACGGACACAACGGTGCTGCTGCCACTTATTTGCTGTCATCATGAGTTTCACAAGTGTTGTACTTAACGCAAATAACATCTTACAAGTGGTTGTTGGTTTGGTTCGTAATGATCAGTATGGCATATTAAGGCGACGCGTCCTGCAAAAGAATCGTAGGAAAAGGGCAGCGAGTATCTACTCTAGAATGATGCACATGCTTCGAGAACTTAGTGGAGGAACAGCATCTTTTAGAAAGTTCAAAACAGGCAGATTCGCAGCCTTCTCGGCATTATCAGATCCTGCCACCGCAAGCTGTCATTCATCAGAACGGGTTGGAAAGGAAGCGATTTGAATAAAGGAGTGATCAGACATCACTATGACCACAAAAGTTATTCTAATTAGTTAATACTGAAAAACCTTTTAGTGTATTAAGCAAGTCGTCACTAGGACAAGAAACCTTCCCAATGACTCCGAGTGGGGTCACTGCATGGCGCATCCACAAGAACGAAATGGATTTGCGGCAAGTGCATCATTTTCAATTGACTCGATCGAATTGACGTGTACAGAAGCATTTTGAAGGTGTTCAAAGAAGTTCCCTACTACGGCGAGGGAGGAACAGAGTTTTCGATTGGCTTCGAAAATTTCCTTGACATTTCCTCGATTTTCGCAGATTTCTCGCGAACTAGAAAGCAATCGAAACAACTGGAGCACCAATCAAAAAGCGTAAATCTTCTACTTTACAACGCTTACCACCGATTTTCAGAGCATGGCAATTGATGACAGCTACTGCCTTTCAAAGGGTGGGAGCTCGCATGTAAATTTCAATTTCCTCGACAATTTCTCGACGTTTTCCACTCTCGAAAATAGGTGTGCTCGGAAAAACGCTCGGCACAGCTTTGAAACTAGAAGTCTCGTGCATTTAAAAGCTGCCTTCACTTTCTGAAACGGTTATCAAAGAAGAAAGTTATAGTCCTTTAAATAGGGGGTACATTTGACGATTTTCCCTACTAGCGCGCTCTAGGCACAGCGCGCAACGCGATCGCGTTTGTTTAGCGCCGCTATACTGGAGCGCAAGACTGTTCAACTCTGTAGGGGCTGTACCTCCTTCAAACTTCTACTTTCCCGTCAATGTGGCAAAGGTTGAATGTCTTCAAAGGAAAGAAGGAGAACCTAATCTGAGCAGAATTGAATCTAGCATTTGGATCAAGCCGCATTTGCGTGACAGCGGCGCTGCGTCCCTCTCGCTAACTAGCATTTTTTTAATATAAAACCCGATGTGCAGAGGACAAAAAGGAGTCGTATCAAAGTTCATGTTTTGGAGGGGAGTCGTAAAGAGGCGGTTACTTCCTCGAAACTATTTTCACCCTGGTTCGGAGTAAAGCCCAATTACGGCTAAAAGAATTGAAGCTTCATGTAGGTTGGCCAGAAATCAGGATTTCTAAGGTTCTCGCATACGAGAAATCTCAAGGTGCAGAATTCAAAAATTTCTCAAAATTTGGGGTGTTTCCATACTTTTAATACACATTGTGGGGCCATTTGAAAGCCTACGAGATTTCTTGGGCAAATCAGAGGGTATAGTTTGAGACAAAGTGAGTGATAACATGTGCAGACCCTAGAGAGATGTGGAGCTTCTCAGCTCGGTAGGAGCTGACGGAAGGCTTCAGCCATTTGATGTTTTTATCCTCTGTAATACACTGTTATTTGAGATCACAAAATCTGTAGAAAAAAATTTAGGAGATTTTTTGAATACGGAACTCGATTTCCTCTATCAACGAGCTCGACAGCTGGCCACGAACCTGCCAATGGGCGAGACGAGGCTGACAGGATTTCAGATTACCGCCGAAGAACTTCGGGGATCACCACTGGCGCCAAATTTATTGCCACGTTAGTAGTAGCATGATGTGCTTTTCAAATTTAACTATCCAGAGCAGAAGTTTTCAGTGTTGATGAATTTCCGCTTGTTTGGGATTCCATTGGAGTTTGTTAACCTCCTCATAGCTCTTGTTGCGTACGCCTGTACATATCCAGCGGTTTTCTGGCGTGTCTCAAAAGCTTTCAGGTATGAGCTTCTTTCTTTTCTATGAATTTCATTGTCTAAAAGGTCGCCCTATTCATCACATCCCCACGATTTTTCGAGTCCGCAAAATGCTTTATTGAGTTAGAGGAAGCGATTACGATAAGGAATTTTCGCATTGGGGGAGAACCTGCGCCACACGGAGCAATTACTTGGCTGCTAAGGAAGCGATATGTGGTCCTCCCACGGCGAAAGGTGCTGTGGTTGCTGAGCAGGACCCGTGTGACGCCCCGCCCCCTGTGACGTGACGCCCACTAGTTCTGTTGATGATCCGGATGGACTGTTTGCTGTTGGCTTTTCATTTTGGATGATCACTTCCCTTCTAGCGGCTGTATCTTCCAATTTTCCCACGTATTGCCTTATCAATCGAAACACTATGCTTGTTGGCATGATGGCGGCTATCGGGGTTAACACGTCCGAACAAAGTCGTTCTTTTCCGTCGCTCATCCATAGTCGAAAATGAAAGGGCAATCAAAGGGGTACCATTTTGCTTATTTTCGGCGGATTTCTTTGCTTTTTCGCCAGTGGCGTACTATTGAGACCCCCACGTCCCCTCTAGACCCCTTTGAGATCTATCGTAATCGCTTCCTTTAACAGAAAAGTTTATTGGATCTTCATTCCTGGGAATAGCAAATTTTTTCCTCGTTTAGAATTTCCTGCGAATACATCAGTGGTGATTAATTTGAGGTTCACGTTTTTCTTCATTATTCATAGAAATATAGGAGTGAGCGAACCAAACAGATTGTTTAGTCTGAAAAAACGCGATAGCGATGGTTCTGCTAATTCACTTTTTAATGCTTAGAAGAAATAAATTTTCTCATACTTTCAGCTTGATCTTCTCTTTCCATATGGTCATTCATTGCGCTGCGGTGATCTGGGGATACCTGGGATTCAGCATTCTGTTTAGAATCCAGGAGACTAACTATAACAGCCTACGTCCTGTCGGACTTGGTAAGTACGCATTATACCGCGATTAGAAGGAAAGATAAAGGTGATCGTCATGGCAATGGCTAAAAAATCTTTATAAATCTTGTGTTACATGGGAAGGCATCATAAATTCCTTCAAAAGAACAAGCACAAAATAAATATTTCCCCATCCATCAATGCTCGCTAACAGACTTCTTTCAAGTTTTTTTAATGTTGTAAAATTTTAGGCGCCTTTTTGATTACAACACTGTTATCCTTATGGGACTTCAAAACGCTCCGGGAGCCTCATCAGGACCTTATCATTGTATAATACAAAGCGGTAACAAAATTTGATGCCAAAAAATGTCAGAAGTCTATAAAATTCCAAGTATTCCAGAAATTCCGAAAAATCCCGAGAAATCCAAGAAACAATTTGAAAAAATTCCTTTGAGATCTTCCTTGTATGACACTTTCACTTAGCCAAAATGTATTGACTATAGCTGGCATAATTAATTTGGCGGCTTTCCATACCTATATAGATACCCACAGCCAAGTATAAAGCTGCGGGAGCCGCGTCGCTGAAGTAGAATTGAATAACTTAAGCCTCACGCTCTGCTTAAATGGTAGCGGATGTACTGTGACGGTCATTGCATGTGATATTATTAGGCTGAGTCATAAGTAATTGCCGATCTGACAAAAATTTCCAAAAGTTCACAATTTTCTTGTGAACCACCTTGGTTGAGTGCCCTATTTACCACAGCTGTCTACAAGTCTACAAGTGTCCTCTATCTATCCGCATGTGAATGGATACCTCTCCTCAAGTACTCATCCTTCGACGTCAAGAATCAGTGGATGTCTGTTTTGAGGTGGTCGCCTTCATCGTAGTTTTTCTCGTTAGAAAACGAGCAAGTAAGCGGAGCAACTGGTGGTTGGTTGCTATACCTCAGCGGATTAGAAAGAGTGGGGGGAAAACATGAGGCCAAGTTTCTGTATAGTATTCTGGCATTCTCTCCATGCATGTCGGTTGCGAGCTGCCGGGCAGTGGAACAATTTCATTCACTGTAAGCCTCAAGTTTGCGATATCGGACGCAAGTTTGTCGACCTGGTGGCTGTAGGTGTGTGCGCCAACAGTGGTGGTATTGTTCGAAGTGTGTGATGAAGCAATCCTTCAATCGGAGAGCGGAACCTACTCCGGGTGAAATCCAACTATTGGGGCACGTTGTCCCTGCCGAGCGGCACGTTCCCACTCATGCCTGCGTAGGTTGCCTGGCTAGACTGCGCGCTCTCAGACCCCAGTCACCTCTTGTCGACCCGATTGATACAACAGCTTTATTCAGCAATGTTTGTGAGATGATCACACGTGTCGTTGAAGCTACCTCGTCCAACTCGTGAGAATTCCATCCTCCTAGCGTGTACAATTTCTCTACGGTTCAGAGAGAACGACACATGGTGCAGTGGGAGGAATGAAGGTCTAATGCTTTGAGGGGTGCTGGTACCGAGTTGCCCAAAGAAGATCCTGCATGAGTTCAATATCTACAGCCATTGGGTGTCCAAAACATGGTCGGTCTTCAGGGCTACAGTCGACCTGGTGAAGCTTCCTGAAAATTTCAATAGATATTCTCATTCAGCGAGTCTTCCTCCAGATACACAAATATCCCGACAGGCTCCTGCTGAGTGCCCCAGGCGGAACTCGTAAAATATACAGCGACGAACATGCGTTGAGAAGGACGGCATTATTTCTCTCAAAAGACGAGTACTGACGGTCAAGTTTCGTAGTATGGAAGGACACTTGGGTCGCCACATACTGCTCCGCGGGGACAACACAAACTTTTTGTTAAAAAAACATTTTTTTACATGGCGTGGGTCTGAAGAAATTACTTATGACTCAACCTATTACAACAGCGGGGGGAACATAATATCCGTACATTGCAGACCATTGTAGGACCGTGCGATATGTATGTATTATATATCCCCCGCACGCAGTACACTCATTTTTTTCGCGTACCCTTATTCTTCTAGAAGTATCTTGTATTGAATCCACGACAAAGGCCCTGACGTAGCTACAAACATAGTAGCCCACATACTGGTCACGTATACTTCAATTTAGAGGAGGATTCCTGAACCATACGAAATTTTCAGTTCAATAAATTCCTTGTTTACTTTTTCTTTTTATGAATGTAAAGATTCGAATAGAGTAGAAGTAGGTACGAACCTTGGAATGACAATATGCAACTAATGACAATGTGTTTTGATTGAAATGGTCAACGCGAAATTGCTTTTGAGGTCCGTTGCAGCTAGTTCTGACAAGTTTCGCTTTCTCATTGTTACTCCATATCTTTCGATCGAAATTCCACTATTGTACCTCTGAGTAGGTTGTGGTCATTACAGTTTAATCTGGTTTTGTTTTGATCACTATCTATGTACTTATCACTCAAAACCTGCTTGAACGACTTGAGGCGCCGCACCCGCAGAATCACCCTGGTCCCACGTGGCCAAAAATACCAAAGCTCGCGTTGTCGTCAACGTGTCAAAAATCACGTGACATTTGTAACGTAGTAAATTTACCAGTTGTAGTTTATTTTGGGTAATCGTTCCCTTATTTCCAAGGCCTCCAATGGTTTCCTTCGCCGGGTTTCCTACGTAGCGGTATAATACCTTGGTGGTCAGTGTGGGGATTCTCCATGCGCGTGTTTTTTGGTGCAGTATTTGGGGAAGCTGCTGTTGGGGTGAGAGGCTGGGTTTTTCTTAACACCCTTTGATGCTCATCCAAACGTTTGTAAGGGGGCCTTTTCGATTCCTCAACATACTTTTGTCTACATCCTTGACATTCTATTAAATAAAAGGTACCCCTCAATTGGCAAATTTTACTGTCGTCACTGTAAGCACAACTCCGTCTATGTTTTTCTTCATATGGTGAATAGGTGAGTAGATGTTTAAGATTAGGAGGTGGACGAAATATAATGCGTATGGGAAGCTTTGGCCTTTTAAAAGAAAAAGTGCGGTCAAAAGGTCACTCCTCCCGCACGCCTTATATTTCGTCTACCACCTATCTTGAACGTTTACTCACCTATTCAAGACCATATGAAGAAAGATGTGGAGGAAGGAGTCGTGCTTACCGTAACGACAATGAAATTGCAATTGAGGAGTGCGTATATGCAAAAGTCAGGCTCGTGTTTGGACATTATGGCGCCTGAAATTCAGTGTAGAGATGGGAGGTGGAACGACAGTGAAGAAAAAACGCAAAGAAACTATTGACAAGACCGAAATCGGAAATCCTTAACTTTTAGCAGTGAAGAAGGCTTGCTCGGGGGAGAGCCACGTCCAAACGAGTTTTCTGGATATGCCAGCCGTTCCATCGGTTGATACGGCAATCATCCTAGCTGATCTCACAAGTTAGGCCAGCCATACACCACGTACCGCGGTGGGCGGGACCAGATGATGAAACGAACCCATCGCTATAAGTAGTAAGCCACAGGCCTTTACGGCGCGCAATCTCGAGTCAAGAGTGTGGCATCACCCCTCTGAGCGCATTCCTGGAAATATTAGTGATGGAAAGGCTTTCAATGGTCACCTGATCCTGACTCGTGGCTTTAATAGAATGTCAAGGATGCGGACAAAAATATGTTGGGCAATCGAGTAGACCTCTTTAGAAGCATTTGGATACCAAATGCTTCTAAAGAGGTCTACTCGATTGCCCAACATATTATCTCGATACCAAATACCGTCACAAACTCGGCCTCTTATCCGAACAGCTTCTCCAAACACTACATCTAAAAGAAGCGTATGAAGACCCCACCCCTCCCCACATTGACCATCAAGGTATTACACCGCACCATAGGAAACGCTGATAAGGAATCTGTCGGAGGCCATAGAAATAAGGAATGATCACCCGAAATAAAATACAACTATAAAATCAACTACGCGCTCAATGCCACTTAATTTTTAATATCGCATGCAATGACCATCACAGCACGCCCGCTACTGTTTAAGCAGAGGAGAGATAAGTTATTCAGTTCCACTCCAGCGATGCGGCTCCCGTGAGGGTAGCTTTATAGTTCACGTGGCAAACAAATATGGCTGTCTAGGCGGATTTTGGGAGCCACCAAATTACTTATATCAGCTACAGTCAATGTATTTCAGGCCTAACGAAGGTGCACACACTGAAATATCGCGGAAGATTCCAGAGGAACTGTTTTGTTAAACTGTATTTAGAGATTTTGGGATTATTTGGAATTTCCAGAACACTTGGAACTTTATGAACTTTTGGAAATATTTTGGAACAAAATTTTGGTGCCTCTTTGTGCTACACAGTATTCAAATCCCACTTTTTCAGGAAAGTCTGGCATTGAGGAATACTACAAGAATCCATCAATGTTCACGCTTTATTATTTAGACCAAATCAGCTCCGCACACTACCGCGCACATGAAACGGTAGGCTTCGATGGAAATGGAAAGCCTGAGGGGCGTTAGTTCCTACCGCTAAAAAAACCTAACATTGGGTTGCTATGTATAATTGCTCAGCTGACCGCTTCATAGGCTGCTCTATTTTTATTGAAACTTACCGTGATATGTGCCGTGGAATGCAAACTGAACTGATATTTGTAAGCAGCACCATGCGTCGAACGTCAGGATAATTTAATGGTCTCATAATATTATATTTGATGTTAATGATTTAAGGAATCCTTCCCGGAAAATCATGATTCAATCTCACACATGAATCAATAGCTTGGGACACACCCTTTGGCAATTCAAATTACCGCCGGACATCTGTAACAAATGTTGGCGGTGGGGACGCTTCCACTTGGTTCGCGGGGTGCTGCCACTAGAAACTCTTTGAATTTTGATTTAGTGCACTGACGTTTCACATTTCTACTGCATCATATTCTATCGATTGTTTTGTCTCTATTCTCCAGTATCGAACCCTTCAACGATCCTTTCGATGCGTATGTATTCCGGGAAGATTCCCTCAATCATGAGTTATGGCAAATCCACGATTTGCAACGTATTGATCCCTCGCAATCCTTCGGCTAGTGTCATACCTTGC